ATTGCAGTACCTTTTGCTCTATTACAACTTTAAAAAAAATATAGAAAATTAAAATATTCTCTCTGTATGAGTATTCTACAGATGGTTTTCAATCGAAACAAATTAATTTTTTTGCAGGCGGACAAATTTTGCACAAGAAATAAGAGTTTAAAGTTTTCCGAAATTTGCAAGAAACATAATAAAATGTGCAATTTTCAAATTGTTATTTCTACCCCAATTTCAACGATATATGTATCAAATTTGTATGAAAAGATAGTAAATAAATAGTATTCTAATAACTCAGAGAGTTATTTGTGTTTTAAAAGGTTCAATATTGTAAAATATCTATTCGAAATTTCCTTTATTGCAGTACCTTTTGCTCTATTACAACTTTAAAAAAAATATAGAAAATTAAAATATTCTCTCTGTATGAGTATTCTGCAGATGGTTTTCAATCGAAACAAATCAATTTTTTTGCAGATGGACAAATTTTGCATGAGAAATAACAGTTTAGATATTAATTTTCATCACAATAAATAATATAAATAAAACCTTTCAATTTTGTAATGCAAATCAGTAACAACTCGAATTTACTATTTACATGTCTGTTACCGATTTGTCTATTTTTATAAATGTATGATATAAAAAATCATATACAAGGAAAAGATTTTGTCTTCATTGAAGTCATAACTTCCTTTAGTCTAACAATTGACAACTAATAATAATGTTTAACACTAAATATTATCCATCCTACACCATTATCATTTATTGAATTTGTATTTTATCATGGTTGGCCACTACCACGACCTAAATTTCCAAATATATATTATAAAATAACAAACAATTTTATATTCATAATTTAACATCAAAATGGGTCGTCTAAATAAAATTACTAAATCCTGCAAAAATGCTCGTCTTGCCAAATCATCTAGAACTTGTAAACCATTAGTCCTAATTGATACTAACTCTATTATTGTAGATATCTCTATTCCTAATCAAAATCTTAAAGATCAAACCATGCTAGATCAAACAATACTAGATCCTAATAACAACACAATTGATTTTTCTTGCACTCCCAAGTTATCATTCTTTGACCTTAATATGTCCTCCTTAGAAAATGGCTCAGAATCATCTACTTTTTTGTCTATAGATAATATTTCAGAATCATTGGACACTGGCACCAGGAATTCAATTGAGTTTTCAGATCCTCTTGATGTACAAACAGAAGTTAACATCGAATCTTTATCTGAAAATTCAAATCTTCATAATATACATCCAACACATATTTTCCCAGGACCATTTAATAATAATAAAGTAGAAAGAATAAGAAAAGATTTAATAGGTAAAATTAATTATTTGTCTGAAAAGGAATTGGTGTCTTGTTCTCAATTATTTGTCAATATGGTACACAAAGATGGCCTGCATAAAGGTGATATCTTATCACCTTATCTTCAAAAAAAAGCATCAGAATGGGTACTTGCAAATAGAGGAAAATCTAATGCTAACTCTCAAGAAAAGGATCAAGAAATTCGATTATTAAAAGCTAAAAATTCACAATTAAAAAGAAAAATAGATAAACTGACCCCTAGAGTGAAATCTCTTGCAATCAAACTTAGACATTTTGAAAGATCAAAGAGTACCCATATTTCCCAAATTAGATCAATAGTCCGAAAGAAAAAAATTCTTTCTAATAAAGATATTGAAAAGGCAGTAATTGGAAAAATTAAACAAGACAAAAAAACATATTCTCCTGAGTTTGTTTCTTTGGCTACAGAATTAAGTAATGTAGGTCAGATGTCATTATCATCTACAATACAATGCACAAAAGAAATGGTGACATTCCTTACTGGCCATTCTCCTAAATCATGGTTGTCCTCTAGTACTTTATCTTAATGGAATAAAGAAGTGGCACAAATCTCAATACAAGAAAATCTTCCTCAACTTTCCAAACAGTTTAGTTCATATGGTATTATGGCAGACGAAAGTACAAGAGGAGAAAAAAAAATATTTTTAGTATGTATAGCTTACTGGGATGAAAAAAAAAAGGAACCTATGCTTACCATTCTTAGTATGAAAGACTTGGATTGTTGTTCAGCATCTACAATACTGTCTAGTGTTGGAGATACCATTAACATGTATTCATTGGATCCAGCTAAGTGCCAATATTGGCTTACTGATAATACAGCATATATGTCTGGATCAAAGGGAGGTGCTGTAGTAAAATTCAACAAACAATATTCTACAAAAGCCATTTGAATTCCATGTGGGTTACATGTGTTACATATAGCTTCAACAACCTTTGATAATATCACCTTTGGGAAGATCAATTCACCTTCTGGACTTTCTTTAGATCCACATCCATTCAATGTTATTAATTTGGCTTATTATCTTCATTGTGGATATAATGAATCTAATAAAGATAACCCATTAAATATGAGAACAGGGATAATTAGTGAATTATATATGACCTTAATAAACTATAATCTTAAAAGATACCAAAAGCCCATTTCTAGTCGTTGGTTGTACCAACTGACCACAGCAAAACAATATTTAGGTCAAAGAGATGCTCACCTTCAATTTTCTGAATGGTTCATCAATCAACTGGAGGCAGCTAGTAATGTTCCAGAAGGTTATTTAAAGAAATGGAAAGTATTTAAGGAATTTCTACAAAATGAAAGGTTAAATATAGAGATTCAGATTATGGTACGTTTTGGGGAATATTTTTATGAAAAGATAATGTTTTTCTTAATTGGTAAAGATAACCGTCTTCCAAATGGGCTCAGGGCAAGTGAAATGCCAGATAAAGTTGAAAAATGGATTGATGAATTTCAAATTGCAATTGAACATGTTGAAGAAGTATTCATAGAAGAATTGTTATTGGCTCATGAAGTTCTTCCTGAAAATGAATTCTTTGATTTAACAAACAAAATTGAAAATGGATTAGTAAAGGCATCAGAAACATTTAAAAAATGGATGCATCCATGGATGCATTTACCTCTTTCTATATGTCGGCTTGGAGGAGCTCATGGTCCTGACTTTGCATTTGCCATTGCTAAAGTTGTAGTGAATATAGACTTTCTTGATGAACCAACAAATATACAAAAAAAATACATGGATCAATTAATAAATGATCTAGAAGTTGGAAAAAGAGAATCTTTTGGATTGTTTCAGGCTTTAGAAAATAATGAGTTCCAAGAGCAATTCCTGGATTTTTCAAGATCCACTCACACTGAATTAGCCAATTATCCATTAGTATGGGAATTTGTAAAGAACAAAATTTGGTATATAATTGTTCATCAGCAGCATCTTGAAGGAATGTTCAACAGATACGACCTCAAGACTCATCCTAATATGTCTATAGATTTACAGGAAGCCAAAATGAAACTATCAGATCCCAAAAAACTTGGAACTTTAATTACCAAAGAAAATTTATCAGAGGTTCGTTCAAAGAGAAAACAAAAGGAAGTGATTGATAAAAATGACCCTACTAATAGAGAAGAAGCTGCAATTAAACTACTTGAAAAGTTTTTAAAACCTTCAAAATAAAAAAAATCTTATAATATATTTTTAAATGTTTATTTATTAAAATTCTTATAACATACTTGGTGTAATAAGCATGATGGACATTTCTATAATTGATAATAATTTGTCTTTTAATGATAAATAGAAATTTTTTTAAAAAGAATATTTTAATATATTACATTTTTTTAATAAAATTAATAATACTTATCTCCAAGAGCAATTCACAATATAAATGAATAGATGAATATATTATTATTAAAGTTATTATAGAACAACTAACTACTATTATCTCTTGAAGTCCTTTTGAATTCATGTATAAATTGTTATTGATGTACACGTTAATATCACATATTAATATGGAAATAAAAGATGTCAAAATGGCTGTGAAAAAAAACAAATAAATAAATGTTGGGAATCATGTAAATATTAAATCTAAAAATATACAACTAAGAATCTACAATCTACAGTACCTTACTGCACTTCATTTATTTAATTTTATTATGCATCCTTATAATAATTGTTCAAATATGGAAGTTTTTCTTTTATTTCAAATCTCACAATCTGCTGTATTAAATAAATGATTTGTAACTAAAAGCATTTGATAAAAGGTATATTGCAAAGTGTTGTTTTACGGTCATAAATATTAATCTATTAAATTCAACGCGTTAGAAATAATTTTTATATAGTATCAAAATTCAATAAAAAACTTTTGTCACACAGAAAAAAAGGGGGTTACCATAAAAAAATCCGCACATATAGATTTATCTTATTGAC